CCCCCCCCCAGACAGGGTCTCTCTATGTAGTCCTGGCTGTCCTGCAACTCTCTGTAGTGACTAGATTATCCTCAAACTCACAGAGATCCACCTGCGTCTGCCTTCCGAGTGCTGGGGTTAGAGGCGTGCGCCATCATGGCTGGCTTAAGGATATTCTAGAGACAGCTATGTCCTTCCCTCTGGCTATCTGACTACTGAAACAACACTCCCCAAGGAATTGGGATTTCCCCAGGAATTTCATGCTGGCAGAACCTGGTGCCAGTCAGAGGGGAACATGTCTCCTAGGAACAGATTCCTGCAACCTTGCAGGAGGACTCAGAAGAGACAATGATGGACCAAACCACACCTTGTCCAGGATCCACTTAGCTTCCTGTGCCTCGAACCCTCCACTTCTACCTAAACCTCATACCAGGAGGAGAGAATAGACTTGGGGGTGAACCTCTCTGTCCTTCTGAATGTAGCCAACATTGACTAAAGCTCCTTTTGCTGCTTTTCATGGTCAGTTGTTTAACTGGCTGACAGAGAGTGGGGTGGCTGAGCCAGGCTTATTATCAAGGGTGTCAGGGCTCAGGGTCTGGTAACTCCAGCAACATCTGAAACAACTTGTCTTTGGATCCTGTAGATTAGCCACAGAATGTAATACTGTGTTCATAGTTCTCATCCCATGTTGTTCAGGGAACAAATGTTGGTACACGCTCCATAGAGCTCTGATTATTCTCTTCTTAGTACTTTCGGTCTGTAGTTGGTTGAATTTGCAGATGTGGAAGCAATGGAGAGAGACAGGCGACTTGTAAAAAGAGACACAACGTGTGTACTATGTTTAGCAATTAATACTTCATAAAAGTTTGAAGACAAAATCCTATTAAAATCTCAGGAACCGTGTATGTTTCCATTGCTATGATGAAATACAAGGGCAAAAACAACTTAAGAGAGAAAAAGATCACTTTGGCTTACAGTTCCCAAAAGATGGGTCTGTCAGTCTGCAACCACACTCAGGAAGTACTGAGGAACAGTAAGTGGGACGGGCTATAAAACCTCAAAGCCCACCCCCAGTGATGGACGTCCTCTATCAAGTCTCCCTCCCCTAAAGGTTCCGCAATCTTCAAACAGCGGTACCAGCAGAGGACCAAATGTTTCAACACACGAGCCCTCAGAAGACATTTTACCTCCAACCCACAACAACTTCTATATGATTCTCTATTGTGGGATGCCCTGTATACTGCAGGAAATTTAGCCACAGCCCTGGCCACTGCCCAGGGGCAATCCTCCAATCCCAGTGTGTCAATTAAACATCTCTGCGTGTATTGGCAACTGTCCTATGAGGCTCAAGGTCACCCTTCATTATATAAACAGAAAACAAAGTGACACACACAGAGTATCAATTTGTGTAAAGGTAATAAACTGTGTATAAACACTTGCGTGTAAAATGTAAGTCAAGGAGAGCAAGAGATGGCTCAGCGGTTAAGAACACTGGCTGCTTTTCCAGAGGTCCTGAGTTCAATTCCCAACACCCACAGGACAGTTCACAACTGTCTGTAACTCCAGGTCCAGGGAACCTGACACCCTCACACAGACACACATGCAGGCAAAACACCAATGCACATAAAATAAAAATAAATAAATAAATCTTTAAAAAAATGTGAGTCAGGCTGGGCAGTGGTGGCCCATGCCTTTAATCCCAGCACTTAGGAGGCAGAGGCAAGTGGATCTCGAGGCCAGCCTGGTCTACAGAGTGAGTTCCAGGACAGCCAGGGCTACACAGAGAAACCCTGTCTTGAAAACAACAAACAAAAACAAAGCAAAAACAGAAACAAAACAAAAAACAAAAGTGAGTCAAGGAAATAGCAGTTTGCTTTATTTTGAAAAATGTCTGTAATGTTAAGACTTCGTAACAAAGTTTATTAATATGTATCTAAATTATTGATGTAGTAGTTGGGTCTGTGACTATGCTAATAATTCAACAAAAGAAAAAATAGGAAACGTCACTGCTGATTATCTTTAACAGTAAACAGGGTGAATGCTAATAACAGGGATGTGGTGTCAAGTAACCTAGACCCTGTCCTGATTATAAATGTGACCAGTGAGCATCTGGCACACAAAGACCTGTTTTGTTTACAGTGGGTGTATTCTACAGCTTTTCAGTCCCTAAACAGTCCCCTAGCATCCACGATAGAATCTTTGCATTTATCTGGTAACTGCTAACAAATGGACTCTTCTCCAGCTGTGAGAAGAGAAGGGCGGGACAGATAAAGGGACCCCCCAGTCTCCCCCACCCACCCCCACCTCCCCGCCACAAGAGTTTTAGAATCCAAGTGATTTTGTAAATGTTCTGATATACCCCACCTTGTTGCCAATCTGTATAAACCAGAACCCAGAGAATAGATGGGACTCGGAGTGTGGAGGGGTGAGCCGATGTGGCCTGGGGTCCGGTGGGAGTTTGCTAGGGTTTCCTCCGGGCCGAACCGCCATTCTACCGCTGAGCTGCAGCTAGACCAGCTTGTTGATTTTATTTCAACATAAAAACTTACCTTAAAATAAAACCTATCTAAATTCTTTCTTGCATACTTCCTATGTCCTAGAGTAGGTGCTGGTGGGACACAGGCAGACACACAGACACACACACAGACACACACACACACACACACACATACACATCACAGTTGTTTTACCAGTAGTAGGAAGTGAACCCTGTGCTAACCTAGTCAAGTGCCTTAGTTCTGAATATGTGTGTGTGCGAGAGAGAGTGTGTATTAGTGTGTGAGAGTGTATGTGTGTATGTGTGTGTGTGAGTGTGTATGAGTGTGTGTGAGAGTGTGTGAGAGAGTGTGTGTGTGGGTGTGTGTGAGTGTACATGAGAGTGTGTATGATTGTGTGTGTGTATGAGTGAGTTGCGTGAGTGTGTGTGTGTGTGTGTGTGTGTGTGTGTGTGTGTGTGTGAGAAGGCAACCTCACACATTATCCACCTTGTTTTTTGAGACAGGGGGTTTTAAGGCCCTGTCTCAAAAAACGAGCAAAATGACATGAAATCACAAGTTGTTGATAATGGCTCTCCCTTCAGGCTACCAAAAGAAGCAGATGGGGTGAGGGTAAGGCTGGGGGAGGGTGTCTGCTGAAGAACCATGTGGGGAGGGCTCAGGTCCCACTGGCCAAAGACCACTCAGAGCTCTGGCGGTACTTGAGGGGAAGTTTTCTTTTCTTTTGTTTGTTTTTCTAGCAAACTTGGCTGATTTTTAAAAGCAGCAGCAGTTGGTGAGGACGGAATGAAGGGCCAAGTTGACACACCAGCAGCTTCCATTTTTCAATGTTTTAAATGTTGTTTTTTTATTTTTAATTATGTGCACACGGGTGGGGTGCGCACGGGGGGGGGGGGGGGGAGGCCAGAGGGGTCTTATGCTCTCAACCATCTCTGCAGGCCCTGTCCTTCAGGCTTGGATCCCTGCATCCAGCTTCTACACTCACGTGTTTCCTCAAGGCGGCAGCACGCTAGAAGCATCCGAGGAACTCTGAAAAACAAACAACCATCCCGGGGCCTCCACACTGGTGTTGCACAAGAACGTGATCCCAGCCCTGGAGAGGATGAGGCAGGAGGATTGTCATTCCCAGGCACGTCTGGGCCACATACACTCGGAGACCCTGTCACAAAGAGACAAAGCCTGAGCTCCCTCTTGGGGATCTGGATTAGGACCAACTGCTGCTATTTTTAGTTATGTATTTTTGTGCCTGTGTGCTTGGGGCAGCCAGAGGACATCCTTGTGTGCCACCCTCAGGAATCTCACTGCTTCCTTTCAGATAAGCTCTCCCGTAGGCCATTCTGGTAGTCTGCCTGACTGTGTGACCTACTGGTCCCTGGTCCTCTGGTCCCTGCCACTCCAGTGTGGAGAGTAGAAGCAAACCTCGCTTCAGGTGGATCAATCGCTTGATCGGTTGATTTTTTTTTTTTTTTTTTTTTTTTAAGAAAAGGCTTCTGTGGGCTGGGTTGTCTTGGAACTCAATATGTCCAACTCACAGAGATCCTCCTGCCTCTGCCTCCTGAGTGCTGGGACTAAGGGTGTGGGGCACTATACCAAAGCTGGCTCCCACCTTGGGTTTGTTTTTTTTTTCTGGGAGCTCTAAGGATCGATTCAGCTCCTCCAGTTCCAAGGCAAGCACTTCGCCTGCTGAGCCTTCCCTTCCCAGTCCCCACCCCCTTTTCTAAAGGCCAAAATGGAATTCGCTTTGATGTTTTCCCCTGAGGTCCTGGGAAAGCCACTCAGATCTTACATGTGCTAGTAAGTGCCCCCAGCGACGTTCCCTGGTTGGCGGTTTTGTTTGTTTGTTGGGAGGGGATGTGTTTAGACAGAGTCTAACTCTGAACTTTAGGCTGATCTGAGCCTCACCAAATAGTCCAATCTGACCTCAAAATTTAAGGGCCCTCCCGCTCCAGCCCCTCGAGTGTTGAGGTGACGGGCGTTTGCCGTCACACCTGCCGGACTCCCAGGCTTCCCGGACCTCTGTCCCTGCAGGACAGACACTCTGCAGGATTAGCTATGCTGCCCTTCCACAACACCAAGTGCTGAACCTCAGGGAGAAGAGACTTTATGTAACACAAATCGCTAAATGGTCTTTACTAATAAAAAACCTAGAGTCAGATATTGGGGTGAATTCTGAAAGATCAGAGAAGCAGAACAAGCCACAGCCAACCTCACCTCAACAGCTCCTCATCGGATCCTATTTCTATGAATCCTCAGCCTGAAAGCTTCTGAGTCCTCACCCAAAAGGATCTCAGCTAAAAGCCTAAAAGCTTAAAAGCCTCTAGTTCCTGGTCCTCACACTTTATATATCTTTCTGCTTCCTACCATCACTTCCTAGGATTAAAAACATGTGTCTTTCCCAAGCAAGACATGAGATCTCAAGTGCCGGGATTAAAGGTGTGTGCTACCATGCCTGGCTCTGTTCCCAGTGTGGCCTTGAACTCACAGAGATCCAGATGGCGTGTGTGTATGTGTGTGTGTGTGTGTGTGTGTGTGTGTGTGTGTGTG